CAGACTATTGATGGGCAGTACCTGTATCAGGAGGTGGAGCAGCTGCTCCTTGGAGAACGGAATGAAGCGCTCACGGTACTGCTGGGCCCAGTCGCGGGGCTCCGTAGGGTTCCACATCTTGCGGTACACCCCCATCTTGTCCGCCAGGGACGACAAAGCCCGGGGGGTCCCAAGAAGCGTGGGCGCCAGGGACCACACTCGGACCCTGGATCCCCAGGTAACCCAGGTCACACGCAACATGGCCAGCCCCCTTTCCCAGAGCCTAAACAGAAACAACCCAAGGTCACTTGGAGGCAGCGCCTCCACACGCCCCGCCCTCCAGGGGCCGTCCCCACCGCAGTTGCATCCCTGGGCTCTCTGGGCCGGGGTTGGTTCGTCCCACCCTGCTCTTTAGGGTAGGTCCCAGATTAGGTCAGCGGTCATAGGGTTTGGGGCATTTTGCAGGCCCGGACACACTGTAGTGGTACAACTGCTCTCTGAGAGCTTGGGCAGCGAGGTGGTTTTCTGGAGTATTGGAAAAGCTCGGAAAAGTTAATTGGGGTGCTGGGCCGCCCACCCAGGGCCATGCGAAGCCCGCCCTTCCCTCACCTTTACCAACGCGCGGCTGTCATTGAGCGTGCCGCGCATGTGCTGGAAAAGGTCCAGGTCCCTGAGGATCGGCTTCAGCAAGCAGTAAAACGCATGCGCAGAGCCTGGGTCTTTGAAACCATTTTCTGCCGAACCCCTATCTCGACTGCGCATGCTTCATTTCTAGTTTCGGGTTTTGGGTGTTTTTTTGTTTGTTTGTTTGTTTTATTTTTAGTGATGCGCATGCGTTCGAGAGGCCTCGAGGCGGGGTTGGGGCCTGGCTCCCGCGCGCCCCTCAACGGCGACCCGCTCAACGTCTGCCGAGGCCACGCCTTTGCTATCGAGTAGGCGGAGAAGGGGGCGGGATTTATCCGAAGCCAATCACCTGTGGAGGACAGAAAAGGCGGGAAGAAGTGGAACTTAAAAAAAGGCTGAGGTGGCGCCTGGACGCACAAGCTGAGGCGGGCAGAAGGAAGAGCGGACCTCCGAGTGCCGAACTTTGGGCTCCGCCCTCGGGGTGGCCCCTTTCCTACGGCGTTCCCTTGGGGGCCTGGCACTCCCGCCCCACTTTCCTGGACGGGAGGCGCCATTCGAAGGTAGCCGTGATGCTCCTCCTGAGGCAGCTGGATGCCGAGGCCCCACACACCAGATGCCAGCCTGAGACAGTGCGCTTTCGTGAGACAGAGCTGAAGCCTAAGCAAATCTCTCATTCTGGGAAATGACCCAAGTCAAGGGTCACCAACTATGCCTGAATGCTTGGGCTTTCCATGGATGCCCCATACCAAGGGGCACCACCCCACCCTGCACACACTCGGGGACCTTAGTCTACAGCCTCCACCAGTGTCCTGACTCCTGGGGCCCCCAACCCCAATACCGCTCACACGCCTCACCCTCTAAGGACCCAGGAGTCCTGTCACCCCACATCACCCCCAATCTGCATTCCCAACTCCCAGGGCCCCTCATCACCAGCTCCTGAGACTCTCAGCAGCCCCTCACCCCACATTTCCAACTTCTAGGACCTGAAGCTGTCCTTTGGCTATGTCTCCATTCCTAGGACCTCCCAAAGGTCCTATCACCCCTATCCCCAGCTCCTTGGACTCCCAGCACTCAGCCCATATTCCTGACTACTGAGAAGAGAAGCATCCCCTTACCCCATGCCCTCTGTTCCTAGTACTCAGTCCATCCCCAGTCCTCAGTAGCCCTCTCACTGTCCTGATTCAGGGGACCATCAGCAGCTGTCTTCACCTTGGCCCCCACCTTGGGCACCCACCCTTTCCTTCACACCAGGTGCTGACTCCTAAGAGGTCTGGGAGCCCACCACTCCATCCAAACCTAGAACGCTGTACCCCACTTCTCTGTACCCTGACTCTAACATCCCTACATGTGTTGTCTTTCAGCAGCCGAGCCTGGAGCACGCCAGCAGTGGTACCCAGCAGGCAGCACCCAACACCTTCCCCAAAGGAGAGCAGCCACCATGCACCTCCCTGAAAGTCTGCAGGACCTGGCAGACAGTGAGGCTGTGCGCTTTTTGAGGAGGCCAAAGAACATCTCTCGGATCTGCGGAGGGGTGAGGCCCTGGAGTCAGGGCATAGAAGATGTCAGTTCTCAGACCCAGGACCCCAGGGAAGGGGTTAATGTCAGCTAGGGAAACAAAAAGGAGCTGAAAACTAGACACCTTTTGCTGAGCACTTGGTAGTGCCACTAGCTGTTTTCAGCACCAGTTGACTCATCATAAGAAAGAATTCCACAAAACTGGGCATGATGGCTCATATCCATAATCCTATTGTATTAGAGACTGAGGCAGAAGGGCTGTCAACCAGTTTGAGGCCAACCTGGTCTACAATGTGAGAAAAAGAAAAAAAAGTGAAAAAAAAAAAAAGAAAAAGAACCATTCTAAGGGGATGCCAAAATAAAAGTAAAAATAATTTCAATAAGAAACAGAATCAGGGGCCCGATAGATAGCTCAGTGGTTAAGAACACTGGCTGCTCTTGCAGAGGACCTGGGTTCAGTTCTTAGCACTCACATGGTAGTTCATAACTATCTGTAATTCCAGTTCCAGGGGATTTGGCTCACTCCTTTGGCCTCCATGGGCACTGCATGTATATGGTATACTTACATACATGCAGGCAAAACACTCATACACATAAAATAAAAAATAAATCTTGGGAAGTGTGGCACATGCCTTTAATCCTAGCACTCAGGAAGCAGAGATAGACAGATCTCTGAGTTCGAGGCCAGCCTGGTCTACATAGGGAGTTCCAGGTCAACCAAGGCTATGTGGTAAGACCCTGTCTCAAAAACCAAAAGAGATTCAGTGGTGGCATATGCCTTTAATCCCACTACTCAGGAGGCAGAGGCAGGCTGATCTCTCTGAGATCAAGGCCAGTGTGGTCTACTGGCAAGTTCCAGGCCAGCTGTGGCTACAGGGAAACCCTGTCTCAAAAAGACAAAAAAAAAAAAAAACAACTTTTTAAAAACAAAATGGGATAAAATCAAGTTTCGAAGACTGTCCAGTGGAGTAGCCACATGGGCTGTTGCAGTTTCAACTCAATTAAAATGGGCTAGTCTGCGGTCAATGTGGCTATATTTCAGGTGCTCAGTAGCTACAAGTGGCTGGTGGCTCTCAAACTGAACAACATGCCAGAAAGTTCTGTTGAATAATATTGATTAAGGCCACCACACAGGAAGAGGCAAGACCATGGCTGAACATGGTTGAAGCTCAGTTCTTTTTTTTTTTTTTGGTCTTTTTGAGACAGGGTCTCCCTGTAGGCCCAGCTGGCCTGGAACTCACTATGTAGACCAGGCTGGCCTTGAACTCACAGAGATCCACCTGCCTCTGCTTCCTGAGTGCTGGGATTAAAGGTGTGTGCCACCACGCCCGGCTTGAAGCTCAGTTCTATGAGATGCCAGGACCCATTCATTTTCCATTTCTCAAGTGATGGTGAGGGAAACAGGCTTAGGTCAGTAAAAAAAAAAAAAAAAAAAAAAAAAAGGCACACACAGATGGGACATAAATATGCCACACAGACCCTAGGCACCAGGTGTGGGTGGTCATTGTGTCAGGCACTGTGCTGAGGCTTACTGTGCATCCTTTAATCCCTGTCACATTCATAAGGAATATGGACACTGGGAGCAAAGCCCTCTTTCAGAGCACACACTGCTCTATAACCTAGGGCCACTCACTGCCTCTCAGTATCAGTACAAGAGGAGTCAGAGCTATGGCTGTGGGGTTCAATCTGCACTGCTTCCTTCTTATTTGTAAGATTTTTTTATAGGTATACATGGGTGTGTGGGTGCATGAGTTTATGTGCACCACGTGTATGCAAATGCTCTTAGAGGCCAGAGAGTCAAATCCCCTGGAACTGGAGTCATAGGTAGTTGTGAGCTGCTTGATGTAGGTGCTGGGTCCTCTCCAAGAGGACACATTCTTAACTGATGAACCATCTCTCCAGTGAGACAAGGTCTTAATTCTGTAGCATAGCCTAAGATGGCCTTAGACATCAGTCTAAGACAGCAGTCCTCAGCTTTGGTCTCCCTGAGTGCTGGGATTATAGATCTGAGCAATCATGCCCAACCAGCCTATACTGCTTCTGTTGTTTGCCCCTGACAAAATTGGAAACTGAGGTCCAAGGATATGATAAGATTTGATCTGTGTTGTGGAAGCAGTTGGATACCATGGACCAAACCCAGAGTCTTTCCCCAGGTTCCCAATCCAGAGTATCTTCTCTCTGCCTTTCTGGAACAAAGACCAGACAGGCCTGGCTTTGAGTCCTGACCTAATCACCTGTTGTCCATATGAGGGGCATACTGCCCCATTTGCAGGGTGTTCCAGGTAAAACTATAGCAATACCACCTTTCTTAGAATAGCCCCTTTTGGCTCAGTAGCTTACATTGTCAGCCTGTCTGTGTGACCTGAGGCAACCTCTCTGATCCTCTGTACCCTCATCTGTACAGAGAGTCCTGCTACCTGGACAGGATTGCTATGAAGAATGGGACAAACTGATGCCTGTACATGCTAATTAGTGAGGGCCTGGCAAGTGCTGAGCTCTCCTTAAATAGCAACTATTGTCACTGGAACAAATTACTGTGACAGAGGAGAGAGATGAGTTTGGGGAACCTGAGATGACAGGGACCGGTGTCACATTGCCCTTCTTGTAGGAAGAAGAATTATGACTACTCACCCCTCCCCACTAGTGCCTCCTCACCTTACCACAACCCTACAACAAGGACACACTGTATAATCCAAGGGGAAACTGAGTCTCTTGAGTTTGAATGACTTACCAAGGTCATCACACAGCTGATAAGGGAGTCAGACTTGGATCTACTCACTGTCTGCAATGCCTGGAAAGGCAGGGTAAACATGAGGGAGACAGGGGCTCAGCTGGTATATCCAAGCAGGAGGAAAGGCAGCCAGCCGTGCCAGACATTGTGGTAACGGACTTTGCCTGTGCTGCCATCCTCCCTCCCTGACTCCTCCTTTCCCCCTGGCCTGGTTCCTTGGTGGAAGACTCTGGGCAGCTGGTATTCTTGGCCTTCTCCATGCTGCCTGCCAGCTGGTGCTTTAACTGATGAGTCTTTGCTCACTCCCTGGGGACAAGCCAGGGATGGTATGGAAGGAGGCTAGACACAAGCTTCAGAGGAACCGGGTCTCCACAGTCAGCTGTTCTTCTCTCCCTGCATCTCCAGTGTCCTGGGCTCCACCATGAGCAAACAGCCCAGGGGCCTGGAAGTCTGGAGCACTGGCCTCAACCCCACCCCAGAGCAGCTGAACTTGAGGAGCCATTTCCTATCCCTGGAAAAATCCTAGGAGCTGCCATTGTCCTGAGCACTTACTACTATGCCACTCCTCATCTTTGCAGGATAAACACAGTGGGAAACTGAGGTTCCAGGGACTGAATGACCTGCCCAAGCCCATCTTGGCAGAATCAGACAAATGTGGCTCTTTGACCCATTCTGTAATGGCCTGTGAAAACAAGTGAATTGATAAAACCTTTCTTGGTACAAAGTTCCAAGGAGGTAGTATATATAAAATGAATGTGGACTGAGAAGTTTTTGATGTGCTCTCCTATCCTCTTCCTGACTTTGCCTCATACAAGCAGTGTAAGACACTGACTTCTTAGTTCCCAGACCATCTTACACCCTTCCTTACCAGTTGAGCTGAGGATCAGATGAGACCATGGACTTGACCATAAAGTGATTGGCAAAAAAGAGGGACTAATTATTATGGTTATAAAGCAATTAAAGCAGAGCAGAGCCGAAGGTGGGCAGGGCAGGGCAATTTAGGGTCAACCCTTTGTCTCATACCCTCACACTGAAGGGCACAGCTAGAGCAAGAAGGAGTCAGAGTCACTCTTCACACATTTGCTGAGACCCAGCCTACACTGGTGTAGACACACACACACACACACACACACAGATTTTTGTCCCCAGGAGTTCAAATTTTCAATTTCCCCTTTCCCTTCTGCACAACCCCATTGCTGACTCTGCCACATTCCATCAATCACCAGGTCCAGTTTTACATCCAGAATATCCTAAATTCCCCAGAGCTCTGGCCTCCCTGTCAACCTGTTCTCAGGTCTGTGAGTCTCTGTCTGGAGAAGCCCTCCTCCTTCCAGTCCATCAGCCACAAGACCCCAAAGGACTTCTCTAGTCCCCAGGTCTACTGGTCCCAGCGATTCTCTGCTCAGAACTTTTCTATGCGTGTAGAAATTCAAATGAGAATTTTAACTTTCACATCCCTTGAGTCCTGATGTTGAGGACTCTGAGGGTTGGCTCTTACCTACTTCTCCAAGCTTCACCTCATTGGACACCTCAAGACCTCCTGTCCCAGAAAGAGTCTGGATCTATAACATCTGACTTTTGTATGTGTTTCCTGGAATGCCCTTCTTGTGTCTGCCTGAAAAATTCCATAGTTTTGGGGGATTTGTTGTTGCTGATTTGTTTTTGAGACAAGGTCTCATGTAGTCCAAACTCACTATATAGCTAAGGCTGATCCTAACCTCCTGATGTTCTTGCCTCCATTTCCCAAGTGCTGGAATTATAGGTATGCACCAGCAAAAGTACTTTTTTTTTCTTTTTTGTCTTTTTTGACATCTGTAGCCCCAGCTGGAACTCACTATGTAAACCAGCCTGGCCTCATTCTCAGAGATCCACCACCTGTCTCTGTCTCCCTAGTGATGGGATTAAAGGCATACACCACCATGCCCAGTTAAAACTCCTCTTCTTTAAGGTCCAGTTCAGATACCATTTTATTACTTCCTAAATACAGTCCCACAAACTTTGGTTCCCATTGAAACTATTGTCCAATCCATACTGTTCTCCATACTGACTCATACCCTCCAACCATTCCCACACAACCTGATGGCTCTGTCCACACTGAAAACAGCCTGCCCTGCCCTACTTTGCTCACAGCCCTTCCATGGCTTCCTGTTGTCCTCCAAACAACAGTCCCATTGCTCAATCCTTCTCACCCAGTAACACTCCACATAGAAAGCCCCCGAGCCTCCACTCCCTACCAGCAGATACACAGGCTCCTTCTGTGCCCAGCATAAGACTTGCCACATTGCAGTGTGACTGAGGCTTCAACTTTTCATGGATTTACACTGATAGGAGTCCCTGTCCTCAAGGCTAGATCCATCATGGGCAGTGAAAGGCGAAGAGCCAGACTGCTGGGGTCCAACTTGAAGCTTGGCTGCTCACCAGCTGATGAGTTCAGTCAGTTCCTTATCCTCTGTGTGCTTCAGATTTATTATCAGAAAAGTGCCTCTGTCATAGCGTGGTTGTTACCAACACTATAGTGGGGCAGTTACCAAGGCAGCACTGTATTGTTGTTTTTCAAAAGTCCTGGAAAAAAAAAAAATGGATTTGGTGGTGCATGCCTTTAGTCTCAGCATTTGGGAGGCAGAGGCAGATAGACCTCTGAATTCAAGGTCAGCCAAGGATATATAATGAAACCCTCTCTCAAAATAGATATTTAATTATTTATATTTTATACGTATGACTGTTTTGATTGCATATATGTAAGTGCACCCAAGTGTACAATGCCCACGGAGGTCAGTAGAGGGCATCAGAGTCCCTGGAACTGGAGTTACAGATGGTCATTAGCTGCCATGTGGGTGCTGGGAACCAAAACTGGGTCCTGAGTAAGAGCAGCCAAACCATTTTTCCAGCCTCAGTAAAATATTTTTAAAATATTTTTTATTACTTTTTTTAACTTTTAAAAAATTATTTATTTATTTATTTATTTATTTATTTTATGTGTACGCGTGTATTGCCTGCATGTAGGTAAGTGCACCCGTGTAGTGAAATGCCTGTGGAGGTCAGAAGAGGCTGTTGGATCCCCTGGGACTGGAGTTACGGACAGTTGTTAGCAGCCATGTGGGTTCTGCGAGAACAACCAGTGTTCTTAAACGCTGAGCCATCTCTCCAGCCCCATTTTTTATTATTTTTATGTGTATGAGTGTATTGTCTGCATGTATGTAAGTGCACCCATGTCGTGAAATGCCTGAAGAGGTGAGAAGAGGGCGTCAGATCCCCTGGAACTGGAGTTAGGGATGGTTTGTTAGCCACTATGTGGGTGCTGGGAATTGAACCCAAGTTCACTGCAAGAGCAGCCAGTGCTCTTAACCAACTGAGCCATCTCTCCAGCCCCCAAATCTTTTTTTTTTTGTAATGAATTAACCCAGCACTTAGGAGACAGAGGTAGGTGGATCTCTCTGAGTTCAAGGCCAGCCTGGTGTACATAATGAGTTCCAGGCCATCCAGGACTACATAGTGAGATCCTGTCTCAAAAACATATATATATATATATATAATTTGTGCGTGCATGCATGTGTGTGTGTGCACATCACAGCTCATATTTGGATATCAGAGCACAATATATATATATGAATAGAAATTGATGATGATCTGGAAGGGGAGAGGAGGAGGAGGAAGTTATAGGCAGAGAAAAGAACTAGGAGAGGGATACCTCTTACTCAGCTTTCTATGCTCTAGATGGTTTACTAAGCATGTCCTGTGGGTGGTAGCAAGAGAGTGTGGAGCAGAGCAGGGGTGACTGAAGGAGGACGAAGTTAGCTGAGGCAGGAGGGTCTCAGGGGTCAAGCTGATGGGCTGGGACTCAGTCCTTTGGGAGCCTTATGGGGCTATAGGCAGAGAAGGTGGAGAAGAGACAGCAGGCTCAGGCTGGGAAACAGGAAAGGGGGGAACAGAATGCCTGGTGCCCAACATGTTCACCAGAGGGAAAGTGAAGCTTGTGGGAGACACTGAGGTCCACTCTGTCTCGGAATCCACAGGTCTTCTCCCTGGTCATCTTCTCCTCTCTGCTGACGGATGGCTACCAGAACAAGACAGAGTCTTCTCAACTTCACTGTGTCCTCAATAGCAACCACATGGCCTGTAGCTTCTCTATAGGAGCCAGCTTCCTGTCCTTCCTCAGCTGCTTGGTCTTCCTCGCCCTAGATGCCCAAGAGAGCTGCATCACTGGCACCCGCTTCAAGACAGCCTTCCAGCTCTTGGACTTCATCTTGGATGGTGAGTCCCAGGGAACCTTGGAGAGCTGTCCTGCTCACAGCCTTCCCAGACACCCAGGGCCTCACAGTCCTGCGCCACCCTCCTACCCTGTGCCTGAAAGTCTACCTACTGTGAGGGTCTGACCCTGTGTTTCTTCCAGACCCTTCATAGCAGTTCTTCCTTCCTGTCCCCTCGTTGCCTCTAGAAGCTGTCCAAGCTGTCTGCCTTTTCCGTCACATTCATTCCCCTGGCTCACTAAACACTTCCTGAAAAACTAGCTTGTGTCAAGACTGGACTTCAGCACCCTTTGCTCTGTGGGCTTTTTTTGTTTGTTTGTTTGTTTTGGGGGTTTTTTTTGGTCTTTTTGAGGCAGGGTTTGTGGGCTTTTTTAAAAGCCCTCAGTGTAAGCTGTCATGAAGACTCAGCCTTGCAGGGGTTTCTAAGAGTGAAATGATTTAAAGGGGTCCTGTAGTCATGTGAACATATGCTGAGTGTTTCCTAGTGTCAGGAAGGCCATCAAGGCACATGCCTCCTCTCCTCTAGCCCTCAACTACCCTAGGGTTAAGTCCTGCTCATCTCGAAGAAAACTGAGGCTGAAGTAGTCATGTGACTGGACCACACTTCTGCCCTGTGAGTGACAAGTCTTGTGCTTCAAAACATAGTCCAAACTCTGAAGTCATGCCACACTTGTATAAACCTTACTCACAGCAAGTGCTGAATAAATGCCCATTCTTTATCCCCAGACCCTCAACCCTCTTCAGACTACTCCTCCTCCCCTCTCCAATGCTTATTCCCAGCACCTCAGGGCCAGAGGTCCTTGAAGGCTAGATAGTGTGTCTATCAGAGAGCCCTTTGTGCAGTAGGAAAGTGCTGGCCCAATGTCCCCAACACAAGACCACCTAAGTATGCCTCCTGAGCTTGTGAGATCTGGCTGGCCCACAGAGAACTGAGTTCCTTTCAGATTCTGATGAATTGAAGTCAAAGCAACCACATGTGACTGGATACAGAAGCTCATCTCCAGCAGTTAGCTTTGAAGGGCACATGCGGGATTTGGGGTTGCACTAGGGAGATGTCATATAAGAACCCCCAGCTCATAACCTCATCCTTCTCATCCTTGGCACACCCTGCCCCTCATTCCCTGACGCCCCCCACCCCAAACATGCTCTCCCAGCTCTCTTTTCTTCTTGCTCCTACAGTCCTCTGGGCAGGTGTCTGGTTTGTGGCCGTCTGCTTCCTAGCCAGCCAGTGGCAGCATTCAAAGTCCAAGCACTTCCTCTTGGGGAATAGCAGCGCCAAGGCAGCCATTGCCTTTGCCTTCTTCTCCATCCCTGTCTGGGTGAGGACAAGCCCTGGCCCCATGGCAGGGTGGGATGGGGTAGGGAGCATGCACTCAGTGATTACCGCCAGGGATATTTCTGGGCCTCTTGCTGGTCTCCTCTAAGCCCACCATCCTCCAGCATCTCCCTCCTGGATACTATTGGGCAGTGAGCAGCCATCCATCCATTGCACACCCCCAACCCCCAGGCCAGTCCCTGGGGCTTCTTGCCTGCCCCAGCCAGCCTACAGCCTGCCCTTTCCTGTCTACAGATATTCCAGGCCTATCTGGCCTTCCAGGACCTCCAAAACGAGACTCCAGTCCCCTACAAGCGCTCCCTGGATGAGGGTGGTGTAGTATTAAACACCCTCTCACCACCATCCTCCACTAGCCTTGCCAACCCACCTACCATGTGCCCCAACAGCCTGAGTTACACCAGCTCAGCCCTGTCTCCCTACCTGACTACTCAAAAGGCCCCTCGCCTTACTATGATACCAGACAACTAACCAGCTTTATCTATATCAGTAAAGAGCTCTTTTTCCTCCTGAGGGGTTTCTGAACTACCCTGTCCTCTGTCTGTTCCTCTCATCCCTTAAGTGGTGAGTGAAGGGGCCTCTGCAGCAGGTCATGTTTCTGTGCTAGCCCCAGGTAGCCCTGCCAAGTCACCTATGCCTTGAATCCACATTAGCCTTGAGAAGGAAGCACAGGGCCTCATGCTACAACTGAGGCTGAGATTCAGAGAGAAAAAGCATCAAAGTGCCAGTGAGAAATGGGACTGTGGCAAACCCAGCAGCCCAAATTCTTTACTCCCCATAGTGGCAAAGCACTCAACAGAACCATGTACATAGCAAAAGGATGTCTGTGAATGAGATTCAGGAGTGCTGTGTCTTCAAAAGCATCAAAGTCTATCCTGGGGAAGAAGCAATGGTTTCCACACTAGACTCCCAGGGTTGCCAAGCACATAGCTCCTAAGGGAGTGGCAGGAGTAGGGCCTTGTCCTTGCCTCCAGTGTTGAGGCCTGGAATACACAAACCTGCTCACAGCCACGTTGAGAAAAGAAAACAAATTAAGTCAATTTTAATATATTTTATTTAACCTAATATATCCAAACTGCTCGTTTCAACATATAATCAATGTAAAAATTTAAATTTTTTTTAAATTTATTATTTTATGTGTATGCATGTATTGCCTACATGTAGGTAAGTGCACCTGTGTCATGCAATGCCCACAGAGGTCAGAAAAGGCTGTCAGATCCCCTGGGACCGGAGTTGGACAGTTGTTAGCTGCCATGTGCGTGCTGGGAACTGAACCTGAGTCCTCTGCAAGAGCAGCCACTACTCTTAACTGCTAAGCCATCCCTCCAGCCCCTGGATATCTTCTTGCTGTTGTTAGCCATCTGTTGTATGTTTTGTTAAAATGTGAAATTAGCACGTAACAGATTAAAAAACAATGTAGGGGGCTGGGGCTGCAGCTCAGCTGACAGAAGATTGCCTGGTGTGCATGAAGCCCTGGATTTGATCCTCAGCATTACATGATAGTGTACACCTGTAACTTCAGCTCTCAGAAGGTAGGAGCAAGAGGAATAGAAATTCATCCTCAATATTCAGGGATTTGAGGCCAGCCTGGGATACATGTGACCCAGCCTCAAAACAAAATAACAAATTACAGGACTGGAGAGATGGCTCAGCCATTAAGAGCATGCACTTTTCTTCCAGAGGACTGAGTTCAATTCCCAGCAACCACATCAGGTGACTAACCACCACCTATAATTCCAGCTCCTGGGGAATCCAATGCCTCTGGCTTCTGCAGGCACCTTCACTCACATACACATATCCGCACACAGACACAGACATATACACATAATTAAAAATCAAAATCTTGGGGCTGGAGAGATGGCTTAGTGGTTAAGAGCACTGACTGCTCTTGCAGAGGACCTGGGTTTGATTCCCAGCACTCACCATACAAACCGTCCTTAACTCCAGTTCCAGGGGGATCCAATGCCCTCTTCTGACCTCCGTGGCATTGCATGACATGGGTGCACTCACATACATGCAGGCAATACACTCATTTACAAACTTAACAGATATGTTGTAGGGTCAAATTTAGGCTTCAGCAGTCCCTTTGGGAGGCTTCCTGTGTGTCAGGCCATATTCAGTTCTGTAGCCTTAAAAAACACACATACATGCCGGGTATGGTGGTGGCGCATGCCTTATAATCCCAGCACTCGGGAGGCAGAGGCAGGTGAATCCCTGTGAGTTCCAGGACAGCCAGGGCTACAGGGAGACCCTGTCTCAAAAAGACCAAAAGCCACACACATAGCATAGTCCCCCTATGGAATGAGATAAAACAGCAAAGGAAACACTCTGACCTGGGAAATGAGGCCTAAGCATTTCACCACTGTCAGATGATGGTCTGGGACATGTCTTGTAATTTCTCTGAGCACAAGTTATATGGACCACACAGATTTAGATGAATTGGTTGTCAAACCATGTTCAAAGAGACACCTCAAGGCTGAGCAGTCAGGGACCCACCCACAGCTCTGTATCTGTGATTGCCCTATCAGGCTTCTGGACAAAACTCTCCTAAACAGAAGGTCCCACTGAAAGTGAAACACCACACAGAAAGTTAAACATGTGGCTCTAGAGCCAGGAAGCTCAGCAATGAGCCCTATCTCTGCCATTCATCCTCCTATGCCTCAGTTCCCTCACTTGTGAAGTATTCCCTCCTTAGGGGAGCTGAGGGCCAAATGATAAATGATATGTCCATATGCTATGCAGGGCATAGTAACTGCTCTGGAAAAGCCAGCCAGCCCTGGTCTCCTGAAGTTGTCAGAAGTGGCACACCTAGGAATTTCCCATATGTCTTGAGAGACATATGAGAAACTTGACTGAACCCAAGATCAAAATTCCAGCACTGCAAAAAACAAAATTCAATCCCCAGCACTGCAAAAAACAGATCCAGCCACTGACAAGAGCCAAGCACGAACTGGAAGTAGGGAATAGCCAGGTGTGAAGCCCATCTGGAGTAGGGCTGGGAAAATATTTCATTTGCTTTTTAATTCAACAAACAAACAAAACATACAGTGTCAGCCCAATAATAAATGATGACAGCCCAGTAGCCAAGTCCTAGGGATGTGGAAAAATGCAGGCATCCCATCCATTCAGACCCAGCCATCTGCTGCCACCCAGAATGAGGACCAGTATTGTCAGACTGACGGATTTCTTTTCAAGAGAAGCCAGAAATCCACACTGTATTGTGAAAATCTAGCTTTAAAACTGGAAACTTTTTTTTTCTTCTTTATAAAACAATGTCAAAATGCCAACTGGGGGCAAAATAGGGGCTGCCCATTCACAGCTCAAGATCCTTTGTGGTGCTTGGGTCTAGAAAGTCATCTGGCAGTTTCTGCATCAAGAGAAGAGTCAGATTCTTCCAACCTCTTCCTCCAGAAAGCCTCAGGCACCAAGATACAGTGAAGAGTCCTGGGGAACCCTATTTCTCACCCCTCTACTCATAGGACTCTGGTCACCCCTAGAAGGTCCGTGAAGCAAGAGCAGAAGCAGAGAGTGGGCCATGCCAGAGAGCAGGAAGCAAAAAAGACCATTTTCCTTTGTTTATTTCAAGAGAACAATGAATCAACCATCAAATTCTGTACAAAAACGTGGTGTTAGAGCGTGGTGATCCTCAGGCCAGCCTCCTTCCCACGCCCCAGCCCATAGCTTCCCATAATTTGTCAAAAACCAGGACTACCCACCACCCCCCAAAGCCAACAAATTCCAGAGGAAATTATGAAAACTCAGGGAGATCCTAATTAACCTTTCCACCTACCACCCCCAAATCCAGGAACCTGGATGGAGGGAGGGTGTAGTCAAAGCTGGGTAGGCAGGCATCAGCAGACATAGTGTTTGGCAACCATGGGGCTTGTGTGAGATCTGGGAGGAAGCTGAGGGGTTTGGAGAAGGGAGAAGACCTCTGGCTGGCCCTGATCCAGAGGACACTTGAAATACAGTTTATAAAAATCAGGGCCAAAGTAGAAGAGAAAAAGTCCTCAGAATCAAAAACTAAATAGTGGAAAGATTTGTTTTCTTCTCTAAAAGGCAAAAAGCTACAAACAGCTCAGGTCCTGAGCTCCCCAAAATATGGGTCCTCCACCGCCCCCGAAACCCAGCAGGAGGGAGTGGGGAGCGGGGAGGGGTGGGCTCTTTAAAAAGTCATCCCTGGATGGGAAGGCTCTTGGTCTTCGGCAGCCCTCCTCTGCCTCCTGCCCTGCCTCGGAGAAGGCCGGTAAGGCCAGGGCTATGCTGGCAAGCTTAGCTTCTTCCCCTTTAGGACTGTGGAGAAAGAGAGACATGGTCAGTCTTACCCACTGACATGCAGAGGGATAGCCTCCCGCCCCAAGCAAGGCCTGTGGTGAGCTGGGTGAAGAGAGGGAATCCCTAGGACTCTACATCCGGAATTGGGGGATAGGCCTGGGTTGATCAGGAGGTGAGACCTGGACAATGGCCTTGTCAGAGGGGCTGATTAGAGGTGGTCAAAAGCAAGCCTTGTGTCCCATAGTGCTGGCTGCAGACCTGGATCTCTACAGGAGAAGAAGTCAAAGAGCCTAGCAAAGTTGGCTGGACAAGACCACTCCCTTCCAACCTCCAAGCCTTAATCCTAGGGGATAGAACCACCAGACCTCCAAGCCCTTACCCTGATTGCCAACTGTCTGTTTTTCTGTAAGGCCCAAGTTGGCCTCAAACTTGCCACAATACTGCCTCAGCCTCCAGAGAGCTAGGATTATAGGCCTATGCCACCAGATCTGGCCTTATTGCCTCTTTCTTGGTCTTCAGATGTCTACTTAAATATCACACAAGCCCTGGGTAAGGCAGTCTCCACCGCAGTGCATCAGGAAGACATCCCTGGCTTCATCCATCATTCCTCTCACCACTGGCTATTCTTTAGGGGTCATATGTCATCTTCCACACTAAGATCTAAGGGGAGGGAAGGGCCTCCATCACCTTCTCTGCTACAGCTGAGTCCTAGACACAGGTGCTCAACAAGTTTGTACAATGAGAATGAAGGAATCTCATCGGGCTGGAGTCCCTGCCTGGAATGATCTCTGCTTATAGCAATACAGTCTGAGAATAAAAAAATCCTTGGGCTTTGGGGAGGCAAGGTGTGGAGTCTATAGAGGAAGGTGGGCCTGGGACCCCAGAAGCCAGAAGAGGAAGCCCTCCATCCCTCAAGTAATATAGGGCTGAAGATGGACCCTGGGCCCAGGGAGTGCAGGAATGGGGAAAGAACAGGCTCCTTCCAGCCAGCCCTGCATCCTGGCTACCTTTGGTGATATAGAGGTAGAAGAAATCGCAGTAGAGAACTGTCTGGACCAGGCCGGCCACAATGGCAATGAGGTCGAAGAAGCCTTCGAAGTGGTAGCGCCAGATCCAGTTGAAGAGATAGAGTGTACGGTAGACACCAAGTGCAAACAAGTAGTGGCTGGTGATGGTCTCCGCCTCGCCTGTCTTGCTCACCATAAACAGCTGTGGCAAGATGGCCACTGACTCCAGGTAGATGGAGAAGGTCCAGAGGATCTGCAGAGGCCAGGGATGAGGGACACATGAGGCAGTGGGGCCAGGGGTATCACAGGATAGGCACTCTGAACTGACCCCAGCGTTCAACATTTACTTGACAATATTCAGCCCATGTCACCAGTCCATCATTCAATACTCACCACAGCCCCCTAAAATCCCACTCTACAGAGGAAACTGAGGCCTCAGAAGACCCTTGCCCACAACCACAGAGCTCATAAGCAGCAGAGCTGGGGACTTGACTGGAGCTCGAGATCATGAATACTTTTCAGCTATATCTCTCTAAAGGCAGAACAGAGTGGAGCCTCCCTTCTGACCTAGGACAAGGCACGTACCTAGCTTCTCCAAGCTTCTGAATCTCTACAATGGAGACCCTTTCCTGCTCTATAAGGACACTATTAAATGTGTGAGCTTTACAGACCTAAGTCAGACTATGTGGTTCCCTAGCTTAAAATCCTCTGGTGGCTTCAGGGCTGGAGAGATGGCTCAGCGGTTAAGAACACTGGCTACGCTTGGCAGAAGAGCTGGGTTTGAATCCCAGCACCCACATGGCAACTAACAACCATCTGTATCTCGAGTTCCAGGTGATCTGACGCCCTCTTCTGTCCTCCACAGGTACTCGCCTCCTTCTCTACAGTTCCCAGCCAGCACAGCACCCTGCTTTTTGGAGTTGTTTGAGACAGATCTTGTTAGAAAGCCCAGGTTTTCCTGGAACCCATGCCACAGCCCAGGCTGGCCTTGCACTCATGATCCTCCTGCTGGGATTACAGGCTAATTAGTGCTGCAGTACCTGGCACACCACCCTGGAATCCTGCATCTTTGTTCACCACAGGGCTCCAGCACCAGACACAGCTCATGAATGAGAAGAGGTGCCAGTGAGTCAACAGGAGTGAGCACTTACAACAGGCTGCCTATGTTTATGGCACAGGCTACCCTCAAGGGATCATGGACAGTCATTTTTATGACTGGGACAGGGCATCACAGCTCTCTGAAAGTCCCACCTGGGGTGATGATGAATGATCTGCTGCACACCCAAAACCTCCCCTCAGAGAACAAAGCCAGGTGGCTTCTCTGCAGTTGTTTTGATTTTCAGGAAGGAAGTGAGAAATATCAGGAAATGCTGGTTAAAACCTCTGGCACCTGTCCTGTACTTCTCCTGCACAATGGGGCACTAACTAGCTTCAGCCTTAACACTAGAAGGTGGGTCCAGCTATTATTCCCATTATACACATGAGCAAACTGAGGCCCAAGGACTAAGAACCCCACCCCCATGCAGGTAGAGCCCAGGCCTGGTCCCTTGACCACCCAGAATCATCCAAGAGACCCTCAAAAAATATACCCCACTTCATCCTTGGGATGACCCTAGCAGAGGAGGCTGAAGGTCATTACACTTTGTTCTATGAGACCTCAGGAGTTTAAAGATTTATTGTTTTTATCAGGCTGGCCTTGAACTCACAGAGATCTGCCTGCCTCTGCCTCCCAAGTGCTGGGATTAAAGGCGTGCACCACCACGCCTGGCTGAGCTCTGAATTTTTAAAGAGTATTTTAGGCCAGGTGTGGTGGTACATATTTATAATTGCAGCACTTGGGAGGCTGAGACATGAGTATTATTTTGAGTTCAAAGTCATCCTGGGCTACACAGCAAAATCTTGTCTCAAAAAAAATAACTTTTTAGAGTACACTATTTACTAGCATGAGCTTTAGAAACAGGCATTCACCCTTCTATGCCTCAAACCCTGCCTCAGTTTTCCCACTTGCACAATGGGTCCAGAAACCCCAATTCAGCCGTGGTGGTGAATAAATCAAGGCTCTAAGTAAATTCCCCGTGTAAGGTGGCAAAATCGGCATGTTTGCAGTTAGGATCTAGAGCCCAGCCCCGGGCTCCCACCACAACATGATCATCCTCCCCCTGGTATTTCTGGGGGCCTATGAGTCAATGTTACCCCTATGAGATTTAACCTGCACAGTGCTTTTAGATATATTTTGAGGCTCACCGGGCGTGGTGGCACACACCTTTAATTCCAGCACTTGGGAGACAGAGGCAGGCAGATCTCTGTGAGTTCAAGGCCAGCCTGGTCTGCATAATGAATTTCAGGCCAGCTGGGGCTACAAGGAGACCCTGTCTCAAAAAAACACAAAAAAAAGATATGTTTTAAGGCCAGGCATGGTAACACATGGCTTTAATCCCAGCACTGGGGAAGCAGAGGCCAGTGAATTCAAGCCTAGTCTGGTCTACGTAGCACGTTTCAGGCCAGCTGGGGTTACAGGGAGACCCTGTCTCAAAAAGAAAAAAAAAAAGAAAAAAGAAAAAGAAAAGAAAGAAATATATTTTGAATATGTAACCAAAACTTTTAAGCTAGATCTCGTGTATAAGAACTGAATTATGGCCGGGCGTGGTGGGGCACGCCTTTAATCCCAGCACTCAGGAGGCAGAGGCAGGCGGATCTCTGTGAGTTTGAGGCCAGCCTGGTCTACCAAAAAAAAAAAAAAAAAAAAAAAAAAAACTGAATTATAGCTTCTGTTGAAAAACCTTGATATGTCTGGGTGGCCAGGACTCTCCCTTATAGGGCAAGAGTGGGTTTCAAAGGAAGGTACTCCAGTTGATGATTCCTGCCAGGCCCAGGAGTTGTAAGCTGATTACCAATCTTCTTAAAATTCCTCCCAGGAGTACATATATACCCCACCGAAACATCACAGGGCAAAATCAGAACTGCCAACACCTAGAGGTAGAAGTATCACACTAGGAAGTGCCTCAACAAACATGACTCAGCCCTTCCCATCTCATGCCAGACGTTGTTCTATAAACATCAACCTCCCATTATAGCTGCTACAAGGGCTGGTACAGCTCTGAGTACACAGGATCTAGGCCCCATTCCCCACCGTAATAAATAAGGATGTCCAAAATAGGAACTGATTTCCCATTTCTTCTTTTCTTTTTTCCTTTTTTTTTTTTCTTTTTGGTCTTTTTGAGACAGGTAGCCCCACCTGGCCTGGAACTATGTAAACCAGGCTGACCTTGAACTCACAACAGAGATCGGCCTGCCTCTGCCTCCTGAGTACTGGGATTAAAGGTGTGCCCAGCCTCTGATTTCCCCATTTTACAGACGAGGAATCAGAGGCATGCCTCTAATCCTCACGCCTTGATTCCAGAGCATCTGTGTATAGCTGATAGGCAACCCTAAACTCAGTAAACCTTCTGTGACCCATTTCACAATGGTAACTGAGGCATAGAGAGGACAAGTCACAGGCCTGAGCTCATATAGTAAAAAATAGAAGATCCCAAAGAGGTAGTAACACATGTCTGTAATCCAGGGACTGAGGCAAGAGGATTACAAGTTCCCCACCAACCTGCACTACATAGTAAGACTCTCAAAACACAAGGATGAGGATACAGCTCAGGAGCAGAGCGCTAGCCTAGCGTGTACAAGGCCCTGGACTTAATCTCCAGAACCTGCTCCTCATATCTAATCAGTCTAGCACTTACTAGGCTAGTGCCCCTGGATATTCAGACAACTCAAGGCTCAGTTTCCTCATCTGCAAATGGGGTTGTCGTGAAAACTAATCAGCCACTCTACATGAACTGCTCAGAGTACCTGGCACACAGTGCTGCGGGTGCATTCACATCCTCTGTCTCCACAGTCCTAGGCTGAGCATGCAGCTCCTGAATAAGGAAGTCTCAGTCAACCCTGCAGAGGGAAGCACCTGAGAGGGCCTGCTGCCAGCTGCCATTCTGCCACAGCCATCCAAACACTACACGACCCCAGTGGTGGCCTACCTCCAGAGGGGTGAAATCATGATTGACCAGGAATGCCAGAATGGCCGTGGGAACAACAAGGAACTCCACCCGGAACGTGTCATGGTTACCATCATAAGTAGCTTTGAACTTGCTGTAGATCATCCACACAGTGGTAAAGGAACAAGCTATGTAGACCACCTGTTGGGAGAGTGACAGGGCAAGTCAACTCACAAGGAGGGCCTCCTCCCAGTAGGTTCCTACAACAGAAATCAAGCTCCCAGTCTACTTCCCGGTACACCAGAGTCCCAGACCCCAGCCTCTTCCCTCAGACCCAGGGTCCCAGACCCCAGCCTCTTCCCTCAGACCCAGGGTCCCAGACCCCAGGCCTCCTCCCTCACACCCAGGGGTCCAGATTCCAGCCCCCCTCTCACAGAACCAGGGTCCCAGATCCCAGCCCTTTTCCCTCAGCAACAGGAATCTAGTCCAGCCCTCCTCCCCCAGATCAGAACTCCAGGCCCACGCCTCCTTGTGACTCCTCCCTGACTCCTGGCCTGGCTCCCTGCTGCAGGGGGCTGGAAGCAGCTCTACCTTCATGCAGGTGTTGTAGAGTGAGATGTAGTTGGTGAACAGGTCCAGGTAGCGGGCAGTGAACACTACGGCAAACAGAACCTGGCTCTTCCCTGAAATCCCTGTGGTTGAGACAAGGAGCTGGTGGTGGGCTGCATGGGTAATAAACTAAGGTGCAGCAGCTGGGACAGCCCGAAGAAGCTCGGTAACACAGCTGTCCCCAGACGCCTTAAAGCCTGAGCACAGCCCTTTCCCACCGCCCACAGCCAGGGGGCGGCCGGCCCCAAAGCAACTCCAGACCGAGGCTCAGTCCCAAGCTAGGCCTCACAGATATCCCCGTCCCCTTCAGGATCCCCCAACAGTTTGGACCCATGTTGGGACCTAGGGAGGGCTCTGCCTGACTTCAGACCCCTGAACAGTCACATTCCTCCCGCTTCCTTTCCGGCCTCCACAGTCCACGTCACCAACTCCCAGCCACCTCCCCGCCTGCCATGGCTCCTGGTTCCCAGCTGCGTGCGGAACACCCATTGATGTCCCAAAGGTTCCTGAGCAAGGTTGACTGGGGGCCCAGAGCCACCCCCACCAAACTGTGTGCGTCCTCAGTCTGAGGATGGGGGTTGACCCTCTGGTGACCCTGGACCTGGAAGAGGGATCCCCCAGCAGGCAGTCCGGGAGGACTCTGACCTCCCGAGCTCCATCCAGCCTTCCCCTGCCCCGGGGCGTCCCCGCTCCGGCTCCCTGCGGGGGGGAAGTCGGGGGGGGGGGAGGTCGTCTCACCCGCACACGATCGGGACTTCCAGATTTTGAGCAGTAGCAAGATGATGGCTAGGAGGTGGGAGAGGTCTCCCAGGAATCGGAAGAGGTTCATGGCTGGGGGGCTCAGGCAGGGCGGAGCTGAGGGAGGCCGGCAGCGGGACTGTCCCGGGGCTGCGGAGCTGCTGGGAGGAGGGCGGGAGAGGCGCCCTCCGGTAGCTCAGCTGGGGGAGGGGGCTCTCTTAGGTGAGCCGAAGCCCGAGCTGGTGGTGGAGCTGGAGTCGGGAAGAGGGAGGAGGGCGGTGGAAGGGGAGGAGTCCGGACTAGAGCTCCACCCCGAAGGCGGTCTGGCTCTCGGGCACCCCCTACCGACCACCACCCCGCTGCCTTGCAGAGCTGCGCCAAATACCCTGCAGGCTACCATCTATGAACGCGAAGGGTCCCCAGGCTCCACCTACCAACCGGAGCCTTCCAGACCAACTGTGTCTCTATAAAGGACGACGGACAGAACTCTAAAGATCCAGGAGGGACTTGGGGTGATGGTGCAGCCTGTAATATTGGCACTGGGAGGATGAAGCAGGTGGATCACCATTTCCAGGCCCACGGCTACATAGTGACAATCTGTTCCCCCACAAAATAACAAAAATAAACCCTGGAGATACAGAGTGTAGGCTTCTGCCTTCCTCAGTGGTCTCTAGTTCCAATCCAATGGAAAGACCCAGCCCTCCTTCCTTGTCTCAGGACCCAGGTATCTGGACCTCAGTTTCCTCCCTCGGACCCAGGAGTCCATACCTTGGCCTTCTGCCCTCAGACCTAGGAGTCCAGGCCCCAGTCCTCCTCCCTCAGACCCAAAGGTCCAGACTCTAGTCTCCTCCCTCACACCCAGGGTTCAGATCCCAGCCCTCCTCCCTCAGATCTAGTAGTCCACACCCCAGTCCTTCTCCCTCAGATCCAGAAGTTCAGACTCCAGTCTCCTCCCTCATACTCAGGGGTCCACATCCCAGCCCTCATCCTTCAGACCTAGGAGGCCATGCCCTAGTCCTTCTCCCTCACACTCAGGGGTCTAAGCCCTAGCTTCCTCCCTCAGAGTCAGCACTACTGACCCCATAAGTCCCTTCCTCAGAATTTAGGTTTCCACCCCAATTTTTTCATTACTAAAGCATTCTTACTTGGGAATCTAGATCCTTAATTTCTTCCTGCTAAGACTCAAAAATGCAGGCCCCAGCTCTTTCAGGAATATGTAGGTTCATCCCTGTCCTCCCAGATCTTAGGAACAAAGGAAGCAGGACATGGATAGTGGTCATAAGAACAAGTGTGCTCAGACTGCTGTAAGAGTTCACAGGCCTAGCTCCAGTCCTTCCTCTACCCTTCTCTCTCCCCTCCTCTCCCAACAAGCCTCCATTCTCAGGGGTCCAGGAAGCCTAAAGCACATTCCTCTCAGAGTTGCAGATGCTAAGGACTGCTCTACCAGAGGCAAAATGGACAGATGGCCTTATGGGAAGTCAAGGTTGGGTCTCTGATCATGATTGCTGTGTCTATGATAGAGCAGACAGTTTTCCTCCAAGGGGACTGAGCACCCATGGCTATGGGAGACTGCTACCTCAAATGATCAATTAATCCCTCATCTAACAACTTTCTCAAAGGCTGGAGTGGAGCCTATACCCCTGGTCTGAGGGGGGAACGTTGAGGTCTGGTCCTGTGGTCCAAAGGATAAAGACCAGGATTTGGAATCCTGGGTCTGAGGGAACAGGGCAGGGGACTGGACTTGAGTCTGAGGGAGGTGGGCAAAGACCTGGAATCCCGGGTGTGAGGAAGACTGGGGCCTGGATCTCAGATTTGAAGGAGGAGAGACAATGTCTGATCATCTAGGTTATAGGGAAGAGTGCCAGAGTCTGGATTTCTGGGTCTGAGAGAGGAGGCATAGGGTGTGGACCCTTGAGTCTGAGGGAGAAGGGATGGATTCTGAATCCCTAGGTTGAAGAAGGTGGTCTGAAGTCTGGACCCCTGGGTCTGAGGAAGGAGGGATGGGGTCTGGGCTCCTGAGTCTGAGGGAGGAGGACTGTGGAAGAACCCTGGGCCTGAGGAAGAAGGGGATTAGGGGTCTGGACACCTGGGTCTGAGAGAGGAAAGGATTGGAGGTCTGGACCCCTCATTCTGAGGGAAGAGGGTTGGATCTGGGCTGAGGGAGGAGTGACTCACTGTCTAGACTCCTGGGAGAGAGGAGGGGCTCAGGGTCTGGACTCCTGGCTCCATGACAGACACCCAGTTTACATCTTGCCTCTGGGGCCACAGAAGTCACAGGATAGGTCTTAGCATGACAGATGTTGAAGTCAGGCAGAGAGGAGGGGCAAGTGGCTGTGACCCCCCCCAGCCCTCTATCTAGGTCCCAATCTGTCTGTACAGGGTAGTGTCCTTGTCCCCCCACCTCCCAGCTTCCTCCCTTTTCAATGCAGCCCCTCATTCCCTTGTCCCATGGAGAAGGCAGAGGCTGTGAGATGGGGTACGGGGTGGTCCCCTCCCCCACCCGACAAGAGGAGGGGTCCCTAGGGAAGCCAGGAGGGGGGGCTGTGGGTCTCCTGACAGGGACGAACGGGGACTGAATGTTAATCGCATCCTGAGTGAGTGTGTGAGAGAGAGCAGAGCGAGTGTGTGAGTCCCTCCCGCTCTGGCTCTTGCAAGCCGTGGCCGCTGCCGCTGCCACCACCACCCTCCACCCGGCAGCCTCCTTGGACACCAGCGCCCTGCTGGGGGGTGTCAGCCTGGGTGGGTCCACCTGGCCCCCAGAGGTCTCTTCTGCTATAGCCATCTGCCAGGTGAGGATGTGTGTCCTGGTGTCCGGCTGGCTGGGGGGGGGGGGGGGGTGTGTCTGTAAGGGCTGCGGCGGCAGCTGGGGGTGGGGGGGGCTCTGTCTGTACCAACCCTGAGTCACTTGCTTGCACCTCACCAGCACCCAGTCTTTTTCCTGAGCCCCCAAACCTGGATAGATGGTATGCACCTGGGTTGTGTGCCTCCTGCCTGCATCCAGCTGGGCGTCTGGGTGTCCCTGGATGCCTGTGTCCTCCTGTCTGTCCGAACAGCCACTGAGAGCAGTGACAACGCGGCCCCCATTGGGGCCCTGCGCAAACCTGTGTGTGCGTGTGCGTGCGTGTGTGTGTGTGTGTGTGTGTGTGTGTGTGTGTCTCCCTCATCGAGCTCCGGGGGTGTTGAGGGGGAATCCCAGGGAAGTAAGGTTGTGCGTGTGTGCGCGTGTGCATGTGTGTTTCTGCCTGTGCTTGAGAGTGGAGACACCAAGGAGGGGGGGATCCGGAGGTGGCCAAAGGAGGAAGGGGCAAGCAGTTACCCTGATAGGCAGCCTCCCGCTCCTTACACAAACACACACCAGCTACCGGCTTCAGAGGTGACCCAGACAGACAGACAGAGACGGGGGGGGGGGCTTTGCTGAAGGCACAAAGGGGTGTCAATAAGCCAAGGAGAGGCAATGGGACACGAAAGACAGGGAAGGAGCTGGGGTTGAAGCGGCAGAGGGGGCACCCCAGGTGGGTGGAGGGGGGATCCCCATGGGGTCAGGCCGCAAGAGGACACCCTGACAACCTCCGCAACGTCTGGGGCCCAACTTCCAGCGCAACATGTGTAGTCTCATCCTCGCCTAGTCTGGTGGCCACAACCTTGGGGTACAGACAGGGCAGGTCAGGATCAAGGAAGAGGAGGGAGAGACAGAGCCGGGACAGTCAAGAGGTCTCTGCCACTGCTGCGTCCACTGCTGCCTGCTGCCCTGGGCCTGGCCCCCACCAACTCCCCAACCCTCCGCGCTTTGGGTCTCTGGACGCCGGGTTCCGGTCCTGGCACCCCAGCAATCCCCCCCACAGAACAGGGTCATGAAAAGGTAAGGCTGAGGCAGGGGATGCGGGGATGGGGGTGGGGATGTGGTCCCCAATCTAGGGTAGGGAAAGTTGGCCAGGGACCTCAAGAAGGGAAGGGGCTTGAATGCAGGCTCTCTGTTCCCCCAGCTCCCTTGTCCCTCAGGAACTGTCTTCTGCCCCGTTTCTCCCTCTCTAAGCCCCTTTCCTGAGTATACCTCAGAACCACCCCCAAGCCCCCCATTTCCCTGACACTGCACACAGCTGTCCCCAGCTGCACATAGCTGACATCCCATCTCTGTTAATCTCTCCACTTCATCTTCTCGGCACCCCCTCCCTGCAATGGTCTCCCCATCACTGCCCATCCCTCTCCCTCTCTCCTCTTGCTCTCCCCTCCCACCTCAGAGCTATGAGTCTGCTATTAATACCCCTGCCAAGGACCTTGAGGGCATCCAGGGCCCAGCTCCCAGCCCCAAGCCAGCACCCCTTCCTCAAGGTTCTGGAATGCCCTTCCAGGACTGGGGTGGGGTGTGTGTGATGGGAACCGGACGCTGTCTGCAGCACGAAGCGGGGGAGCTATTGATCAAAGGGGCCTCTCCTGCTTCCCGTGATGGATGGTGGGGCAACAAAGACAGGGGCCTCCCCTCCTCCTCAGTGTCGGGACAGGCTGTGCTGTACACAGGATCTGAGGGGGATGACAGGGAAGGCCTGAGCTAGGGGGCAGCCAGGATGTTGGGACTAATGGGTTTGAGGACAAAAAAGGGGGTCCTTAAAAGAAGACAAAACAGGAACCAAGATTCCCAGGTATTGGAGCAGGAGAGGGCCAGGACCCCTGAGTCAGGAGAAAGAACTAAGTGGACTTTAGTGCTGGCTGAAGTGGGGTTACCTGCCAGGCCAAGTCTTGTGGCGTGGGTTGGAGGGGAGTCAGGAAAGGCTCCTGTGAGAGGGAGGAGGGCCAGGACTCCTGACAGGGCAGGCTGGGGGGACCTGCCTCCTCGGCCCTTGTGGAATGGAGATGGAAGCCCAAATTGAGATGGAGGTCAGGATCTGGACCCTGCCACCCCTTGGGATATGAGCTTTTGAGGACTTGGCTCCCAGAGAACTGACACTAGGTGGAGGGGTTCACTCAGCCCCCGGGGTGCAGAGAGGCTGCCTCAAAGATCCAGTTGTAGGAAAGCACTGGGCTCCAGACTCCTGACAAGGGCGGGGCTGAAGCTGCCCTCCTGGGCCTCAGCAGTGACAAGGACCCTGTGGCCCCCAAAAGCAGAGGCCAGGGTCCGAGAGGTAGAGGAGGGGACTGATAGTTGAGCAGCCACCAGGAAGGGGAGAGCCAGTGTTAACCCTGCAGGGGCCAGGCCACAGCTGTGCGTTATTTTGGGGAGGAAGGGGGGGGGGCTATTCTGAGCACAGACTGAGCCAGCTGCTTGGAGAAGGGAAGGAGAGGAGGGGCAGGA